TGTAGTGCTGTGTCGTTGTTTATCGCCTGTATCGTTGTATCGTCTGTATCGTTGTATCGCAGTAGTGCTGTGTCGTTGTTTATCACCTGTATCGTATCGTCTGTATCGTTGTATCGCTGTAGTGCTATGTCGTTGTTTATCTCCTGTATCGTCTGTATCGTTGTATCGCCGTAGTGCTGTGTCGTTGTTTATCGCCTGTATCGTTGTATCGTCTGTATCGTTGTATCGCTGTAGTGCTGTGTCGTTGTTTATCTCCTGTATCATTGTATCGTCTGTATCGTTGTATCGCTGTAGTGCTGTGTCGTTGTTTATCTCCTGTATCGTTGTATCGTCTGTATCGTTGTAGAGCTTTGTCGTTGTTTATCGCCCGTATCGTTATATCGTCTGTATCGTTGTATCGTTGTAGAGCTTTGCCGTTGTTTATCGCCTGTATCGTTGTATGTGTGGCCGTGTGGTGTATATTAGCTGATCCTTTGAGAGATCGGGGGAATACATTGGATTTTGGATTGCTTAGATATGACCCTATGGCATGTTGTGTATCGGTGTATCGCAATACGGGCAGCAATACAGCGAAAGTCGGGTCCTAAAACACGACACATATGATATGGTTACCTATATTAATAAATTGAAACACAGCTGTGGGCTCCTAGAAAAATTTCAAGGAATGTTCTATTGTTCCTTGGGCAATCAGAAACAACTCTCTAACCACAAGATAACAGAAAGAAAATAATAATGCTTCTGATTTGTTAAGAAACAGCAAATGTTTTTTTGATTAGCACTGTAACAGAAAATAAACCTATCCTATCTAGCTTTTGAGAAGTGTTACACATTGCTCACAACCTAAAGGTTTGCTTTGCTGAAAAACAAGTATTTGAAATTCAAAATCATTTTAAATGTTTCCTCAATTGGAATAAATAGTTACAATAATAATAAAAATGATAATGAAAAATGAACTTTATTTAAAGAAGGTGTAAAAAGTATTACAAAATACACCAGTTTAGCGAAGGCTAATCTTACACTGGGCCTTCTGTAAAATTTAGAATGCTTTAATAAATCTAAATGCTTTATCAAATACTGTACAGAGTTACAGTCAAGAGGGTCTTAGGTCTCATGTTAATATTTAGTAAAACTGTTAAGTTCAGTCCGTAAATTGTACTTTTAATGTAAAAAGAAATGAATTGAATTTTCAAGAAGCCAAAATTTTATGAATAGTAGTAGTACAACCATGAGGCTTATGCACCTTGTGTAGTGAGGAGTGATGATGGTAAACCCCTTTGCAAAAGTTTATAACTTAGTTTTGAAGTTACATGTACACGTATAAGACTTTATAATCTATTGTTTTGCTATTTTAGTGTGCAGATATACTAACAAGAACCACTTGAATGAAGTTTAGTTTAAGATAAAAAAAACTTAAGCCAAACAAGAGAAAGCAAGATCAGTATAGAATTAACCTCAGCAAAATCGTTGTCTTTCATTCATGTTTATCATCTCCATAGTGGTTTTTAACATCTAAGTTTCTTTCTTCTTAAGATGTCTGGGCTTCTTGCTCCTCATTGGTTTTATAAGTCTGATTTCTTTGTGTCAATGCTGTGATTGGTTAACTTTCTTTATGTGGTCCCAATTAGTGTGTCCACACAGTAAATGCCCAATAGATATATAACAAATATATGTTTTCCATAGTCAAGCAGCCAGTGTGAAAAGGGTGACTAATCAATGGAGCTCTATTACAAAACCCTGGGTCCTTACATATATGATTAATGCAGCTGCAGATTACTTACATTCACCTATCCAACTGAGTTCCAGTTCAAAGTTTTTGTCTTTTACTTCATCATGAACTACATAAATGCTGAAATGAAAGGAAATTGTGAATTATATTTAGAAAGTGAAAACTCTATAATCTTTAGTTGCTCTTGTTATCAGTCTCAGAATACAAACAGAGTAAATTTATTGTGTGTAAACTCATACAAAACCATTAGTTAATACCATGCAAGGCAAGAAAGTTTACCTCTAACTCTCTAAACTAAACCCTCTCATCAGGCCTGATTAAGAAAAGTAATTGATGGGTCCGCCATGTAATAATTATTTATGAAGTATGTATATTGTACACTATTCTTCATGAATGCGATGGTCGTTTCATTTGCATTACAATGATGCACCTGAGCAATATCTTCTGCAAGGCTGCATTTATTATTTTCTTAATTGCCAACATTTTTTGCTGAATTTTCATTTTGTTTTTGTTTTGGAAAGACAACTACAAATATTTTAGCATGTTTAAACAATATTTACTTTTTAACTACGTTAATGTGATACATTTTACAACTACAGTAATGTTTTTCACTTACATTTTAGCAACTTCTTTGACAGCATCAGTGCAAGACATGTCCTGCATCTGGATGAAATGTTTAAAAATGAAAGTCAGTAGCAGTTAAAAAATGCCAAATGGAACCAACAGAATGAGTGCACACATTGAATAGTAAATGATCCTGGTAGCTCTAATATGACCATAGATCAATGAATTATACATTACATTAATTCTTATTGAATATCAGTTTCATTGTTAAAAGAGTCCAATAGTTCTTTCACACATATAATTATATACCTTAAGCTTTTCAATTTCTGTTTTTGCAGCTTGTTTTGCTTTGCCGATAGCACAACCATGATATCCCTGTAAGACCACGAAGATAAAGACAGTGTTTAAAGTGCCACTCAAATGAAATTTTGATGTCTCCAATCTTTACTGTTCAAACACATGCATGCTGAAGTACTTTGCAAAAGAAGAAAACTGGCATTTTTGATATCTTGTTAGCATTTTTGGTTCACGAGATATTTAAGTTTTAAGTTTATGCTAATCAGGAGGTTGACAACGACATATTCTCAACTCACAGTAATTTCTTCAACATAGATTTCAGTATACAGCGTATATCTCTGAGAGTATTAGATAAATGTCATCCAAACTTTGCAGTATGCTTGTATTCAAAACATGAAACATGGAAATGCATAAATTGTGGTTGCTATGGCAATACACTGGTGTCCAGGCCCCTAACAACAACTTTAGCCTTTTTTAATTTGAGAAGAAAACTGTTTGATTCAATTTGTATCTAGGACCATAACAGATATATTAATCAAGCCTTATTCAAAACCATCTCTTGTAAAGGTGTAGAAATTTCTAAAACCTGAATTTTAGGTAGGGGTGGCCTGGAACCAAGGCTGTTGCTATGGCAAATTATTTCTATAGTTAATTTTGAAGAATGGATAGAGAACTCTAACACTAGCAAATTTGGTTTATTTTGATTGAAATTTGGCTGAAATATAGCTTACACTGTATCATAATCTTATGCTGCTCAATCAAGTATTGAGAATATGATGTAAAAAACACCATTTTTAACAATCTGATACCTTTAGAAGGAAAAAGATATTTGAAAAAGGAACTTTATTGCCATTATACAATTGCACAGGAAATGAATGACATTTCCGAAGCAAGCATAAGCACAAGCACAAGCAAAAGCAAGAAATGCAAAATCTTTCATTCTCCTACACTTGTGTCCCTTCTTTTCATAGTGGGAACATGCAGTGAGAGAGGAAGGAAAAATGAAAGAGCCAAAAATACCCTCAGAGTCAGAAAGAGAACCAAGAAACTCAGCTCACATAGGTCAACTGAGATTCAAACCTGCTGCGTGTAAAAGTAAGCCTGGTTCTCATTAGTTGTGCAAGTCAAAGCAAGCATAAACACAAGCCAAAGCTAGAAATGCAAAATCTTCCATTCTCCTACACTTGCTTCCCTTCTATTCATAGTGGGAACATGCTGTGAGAGAGGTATGAAAGGCCAAAGACCCAAAAAAAACCTTGGAGTCAGAAAGAGAACCAATAACTCAGCTCATATAGGTTGACTGGGATTTAAACCCCGGACCTTAGAGGTCAGAGGCGAGAGTATTACCATCACTACATCCTGACTCCATGAACAAAAGTACAAATTTATACTGAGACCCTCCCCTCAGAAGCCCCAGCCCAAATAAGAAAATAAACCTTCCATCTATGTTTTGATACAAGCTTCTGACAGAATACAGAATAATGAATACAAACTTACATAGGAAACCCCAGAAGGATCAATGGTATAAAGTTCTGGGCCATCTGGTCCAAATGAACTCAGCATCACACTGAAAATAAAAGCAGAATAATTGATATCCATCATTTTATGCTTATAAGAGCTTAACCACATTAAATATGTACTGTATTTTATTTCTATTATAATTTATACTAACAACGAGATATCAACTATTGACCAAGGAAATAAGAAAGCCAAAAAATCAAATTTATGGTCATGATAAATGGAGCACTTTATAGGAATAAGGAACCAAATTTAATAAATGAAAAAGGAAGACAAAAAAACATATTATCCATCATTAAAATGATTGCAGTTGTGACTAAGATTTTATCAAAGTCAGGGTACAGCTAACACACAGCTTCATGCTAAGTTTAGCGGAGGGAGCAAAACTGTCAACAACACTAGAGAATCTGGAGAAAAACCCTCAAATCCAGAAGCAGATCCAACAACGCTGTTCTCATGAGATGCTGAGTTTAGGAATCACACAAAGATGTGGTGGGCAGAGGTGAGTACACTATCGCTATTTGATTACTGGTGTGCTAATACAAGGAAGTGGTAAAATCTAACAAAAATACAGTCCAATGTTTCTGCACCTTTGTGTCTAAATACACAATTTGTGTATGCAAAGTGTGATGAACAATTGCAATTGTCTTATCATCCCTCATGCCAAAATGCTTTGACACAAGTACAAAAAGCAAAACCCTAAAGCCAGAACCAGTTTGTTTGAAATTTGACGCAGGTAGATATTAGACTAGTCTTGTATTCCATGTTGTTGTCATATTCTAACTTTAAGCATAATTTCTAGAATAAAATTTAATCAACTCTTTTTGTGTGACTTTGATATTACACTGTACAGTACACTATCGATGACTTTTCCTTAATATTTAACACAACTTAACGAATTCGTTAATATTAAGTTAACTGCAATTCAATACAATAAAGACTAATAGATATATATGATGGGTTACCTGCAACCAAAGGGTCTTACAGCACTGTACAGAGTAAAAGCATGGATAAAGCCAGACACTCTATTGACAAGGTACTAGACACAATAAAATACTTTCAGTTACCAACAATGAGGTGGACAAATAGATAGAAAGGGAAATATTAATATTACAATGCGACTACTCCAACCAAAGCCACCTTGACAATTTTCCACAAATTATCCAATAGTGTTTGAGTATATCTAGAACACAGATAAGCAGCAAATAATTTTGAATTTAAATATTCTTCCGTTGTTCCGGTTGGTAAAACTAAATGATGAAGAAGAGCTTGTAATATATTTTCTTCGCAAATTAGTGATTTGTGTCGAACCAAAGATATAGAAAAATAGTAATGTACGACTTCAAATATGACAGGAAAGCAAATTAGAGACCAGCAACACAGTTTTTACGATTACAGTTTGTTTTTTCCAGACAAAGATATTATCAGGCTGACACTGTTAGATCTTATCACTATGTTGCTATGCGACAGCACGTTTATATTCAACAACAAAGGCGCCGGCAGTCTTCTAAGCCGTGTAAACCCATGGATATTTGTCCGATTTGTAGCAATTCTGTTGTTCAGATTCCTACTTTTGATTTGCTAATTTGTGGAAAATTTGTTGAGGTGGCTTTGATTGGAGTAGTTGCACTGTAATGATTTGGACAAGCAGGATTTCAAAGAGAAAAATTTAATCAATGTAAATATATTTTGATGGTAAATGCTATTAAAAAAAGGTGTGGCCTTTGTACAGTAATTACATCACTCTGCAAGTGGTTAGACCTTTGTCAGGCTGGGATGGCCCAGTTAATGACCGACCTAAAGGCACCAAGAGAAAAGAAAATCAGAGAAGGATTCTCTGGTATTCATGCTTGCAGCCATCATTGGCACCATTCGATGCTATTTTTAGAATCACATTTGGCATCGTTTGTTTTTCTGCATGTGATACTGTGTGTGCTCTACACTGTTTGCTCATAGTTTTTTAAAAAAAACACAAGGAAACATGAGCAAACTGGGTAGAGCTTGCACAGTACATGCATGCAGAAAAACAATCAAATGAATGATTCTAAAAATAGCATCAAAGAGTGTTCATGATGGGACATAGAGATTCCTTCTCTTAGTTCATTTTCTCTTGTAGGCACATTATTACAACTACCTTGAGAGGTATTGGTGTTCCATAAACAGATCTGTAGTTTGCTGCTTCTTCTCTAGCAGTTGAAACAATCTATATTTAGATGATTAAATCAAAAAGAAATCTTATTAAATTTTTAAAATTACTTTTTACTAAAATAGACCTTTAACCACTATTAACCTTTATTTAATAACTAGAGAATGAAAAAGGCACATAAGATCAGTTTTGTGGTGCATTACCATCAGAAAATGGATTTTTTTGGAAATGTTATGAAATCACTTAATGTTGTGGCCATTGATCAAATTAAATAGATTTAGTCAAATTGTTCTTATAAATGAAAAAAAGATGTTAATGATCAACTTAATGCAAATTATCAGAGACATGAGTAAACTGTGTTACTTCTTTAGAAAAAAACGTTGCAAGAAATGAAAGTTTTTGCTGTTTGTAACAAAGCTCAGGCTGAAGGTAGACATTCCAACAAAATTAGGGGAAAAATCAAAATCATAGACAGTAAGAGAATCTAGCCTGTGAAACGGCTCTCTGGCGTGGGGGTTGGGGGAGATTGGGGAAAGGGGAAGAGGTAGAGCCTGCAACCGGCCTTGCAATCTTTGGATTCACTCCACTTTCCACACTTGGTTGAATTCAGACCCTAGCTTATGCACGCCTGGGCTATCAAAAACATCTTAATTCTACAGGTATGTTTCAACATCAATAATTATTACAAGTCAGACATGACACATTTAATTACATGTATAGAAAGCAAACGTCAAGTAATGAAGTTTCAATGATTTATACTGCTCACCTGTCTTGCATCAGCTAAAAGACCAGCAATTGCCTAGAAGAATGATTTTGGAAGAAATCTTCCATTAAAACTTTCACAGCCATAAATATTTCAAGCAAGCTCATGCATATTCAGAATGACACAATGTAAAAATATGTGCTACATTCTTACCATTCCTATGTGTGTGTCAATATGAAATATTCTCTTGTTTGCTCCATACTCATATAATTTTGATAGAACCAACTTTTCAACACCAAAAACCACTCCATTCTTGCACCTAACTGCTAAAGCTGTCCTAAAATTTAATAGATAAAATCAATAAATCAATAAACTCGACAGAAAAACCTCTTCAAATTTGACTAAAAAAATCCAATTATGAGCTAATTCCTGAGATTTTCAATATTCTGTGAACTCGGCAAGCTGCATGCTGAAGTTTGTTTTTTACGCGCCATCAATCAAGATAATCAGTCAATACCTTTTAAGTTCTTGACTGGCGTCAGTAATTGTTTTTAAGCAATTTTACAACACGCCATTGAAATGTCTTAGTTCGCAGAATATCGAAAACCACAGTAGTGTAGAATAAAGTTGACTTCTACCTACTAGACTAGGTACTCTATCTCTACCAGTATGATATTAATTCTTTAAGCTATAATGATAGGTTTACCAGACTACAGTTTAAGCATCACTAGAATTCTCCAGGAAACGAAAACTTTTGAATTAAAAACCTGGTGAACATTTTAGACTGGTATTCAGACCAACCCAAATTTTTAAGGCATCATAGAAGCAGTGGGGTAAAAAGGCTCCAAAACTTTGACTTAAGATGGAAAATTTTCCATTTTAATATCTTAGTTTGTTGGGCTACCCATGGATTCTACACAGCTCACATGTGTTTCCTCAGCAATTGCTGTAAGCCATTAGTGCACTCAATAGAGTATCAATGTATGTATGTATCATAGGTAAACTTAAATAGAGAATATATGGTATAGGTAAAGCTTAAAAAGTTGATGATGTTAAGAAAAGTCAAAAAGATTGCACTGCTTCAAAGGGGTAGATAGTGTATTAGAGACTAAATATCACTTACCCACTATTCTCGACGGCTTTATTGGCATATTCAACCTGGAAAACTCTTCCGTCTGGAGAAAACTGTGATGCTGACAAGTCGTACTTTTAAGAAAAGAATGGAATTTAACTGTTAATGATACATGACAACTAATGATGGCACATGTCTGTACCCACGACACAAAGATTTTACCGTACATAACCATACATCTAGTAGTGTCCCACTCAACTAAATTCTTCAATCATTGACTTATGTAAATCTAAAGCTTACAATTACTAAGAATACTCACTCCTGTTCCAATTGAACTCATCTTTATTTTCACCTTCTTTGGTCTTTTCTTCTCTTTTTACTACCTTGACTTGACCCTGGTGCGCATGTCTAGGAAATCGCGCTGTCACTAGTTCCAGTCTCTTTCGATACTGCAGCTTCTAGACACCACAGGTAGTCCAAGATACTGCTTCTATTCTCTTCTATTGCTTACTATCAATCACGTGACTTTTTTTTGGAGTTGACTGGGGGGCAAACAAACGGTTGACTGAGGGGCAACTAGCGGATGTTAAGTCAAAAGATATCAAAATAAGTCCTCAAACTATTGTATTTGATTATTTCTATGACATGAAACCAGAAAACAAGAGATCAAAACAACCTCCAAGATTCTACAAGCCATCAAAAAAGAGCTATTACCGGTAGTGGCGTCTATTGATAGCAACCTATTCTCGACGTTCACATCCCCATAATGCCTTGCGTTTTTGGGGGGTAACCAATCAAAAAACTGTCCCAAATTGAAAGGTTTCTTAATTGAATTTATACTATATCTGCTTTTATCTGCACAATACTGATTATCAGTTTATTCCAAGTTATTTTTGCGTGTACACTTCTTCAAGAGTTTTGGTCTTACAGAAAATGTATTGACTTACGAAAAAATGTTTAAAATTTACCTTAAACGCTTCAAGCTTCTATCTTTTTCTGTTTTTACTTCTTCATTTTATCTTTGGATACCAAACAAGGTATTTTCAACATTGTCTGATCAGCCTTCAGCAAAATAAGTGGGTTTTTACCCTCTGGTTACCCCCAAAGACGCAAAGGATTATGGGGATGTGAAAGTCGAGAATTGACGTTCAAAATCGTCAAACGAATCGTCAAAAAAAGAAAGTGAAAGAAAAGAAAAGGTAGATGTAGAAACCCTCTTACCTAAGAATATGCACAGGTTTCATGAAAGATGTGAAATAGCTCTCAGTTTAAATACATTGTTTCTTTTCGTGTCTACAGTTGCTATACTATCATGAAAATAGACCCTTGCAAAGAGACCTCTCATTTTAAAAAGTATTATTAATTGAAGGTACCATTATTTACTTATGTCTAGGGGAGGGTGTTGACAAAAAGGGGGGCTGCCATAAAATACAGGGCCGTAACCAGGAGTCTTGCAGGGTGGGTCTTGCACAGGGAATGGAAACGAAGCTGTCTAAACTAACAGTGATATGATGGATGCAATAACGCAATCGACCTACCATTTGTAGAAACCAAAAAAATGAAAAAACCATCTAATAATGGGTAAGCGATAATTCAAAATGCTACAATTTGCAGATGGTTAAAGGAAATAAAAATGACTCAGAGAACCTTTAGCCTTTACGGGGGGAAGGGGGGCCGGGGGTGAACGAGCACCCGATGCACCCCCCTCCCCTGGTTAGGGTCCGGTAAGAACGAGTCAAAGAAACACGTGGGTTTTGAACTAAACGCTTTCAAACCTAGCTGAAATGTTGGGGGATGGATAACGGCACTTGAGAATCGCGCGGGAGCAAGCAATTGAATGTAAACGGTCTCAACGGGCATGCAAGTTTGTTACTTTATTTAGCTGATACATTAAGAATACATTAAGAATACATTAATATTATAGAGAATATAAAAGAGAATGGATCAACATAATGATAATACTAATCATACTTTTGTTTTAATGTGCTTAAACGATAGACTCACTGAACACAAACGCTTTATTAATAAACAGGATCCTAACAATCACATCGCTGAACATCACAAGAACACTGGACACGACATTGACTGGCACTCTACTGACTACCATCAACGTCTTACCCGCTAAGTTTAACGTCCTTTTTTCCCCACGAGGGTAGCAAGTAAGAGCCAGTGGCTAACAAACCTGTGGCCCTCATTCCGTGATCGAATTGGAATTTAGGAGTTGATTTTTGCGGAGGGAGGGAAACCGGAGAACCCGGAAACCCTTGAAGCACAGGAGAGAACCAACAAACAACTCTACTCAGAACCAAAAACAAAAAAACGAAAAACAACAACAACAACAACAAACAAACAAGGGAATGAGGGGTGAGTGCTTCTTAAAAATGCTACAATGTGCAGATGGACAGTGGTCTTCTTTTAAATCAAAAAACATTTACATGCAATTTTAAAGCAAAAGGAGATGGATGAGCGGACCTTAAGCTTTTATGGGGGGAGGGGTTGCACGTGCTTCCTGTGCTCCCCCCTAGTTACGGCCCTGACAAGCACCCCCAAAATACAAAATACTCTCCAAAAAATGCATTGAATTTAGATAATAGCAAGAGAAAATTAACTAAGAGAAGGAATCTCTGGTATTTATGCCTGTAACCATCATGAGCAAACAGCGTAGAGCGCGCGCAGTATGCGCATGCACAATTACAAACGATCAAATGTATATGAATCAAAGATTCTAAAAATAGCATCCAAGAGAGCTCATGATGGTGCGCAGGGATTCCTGCGATAATGATTAATGATAATGATTATCGGGAACTGCCACCTCAGTTTGCTTTGTTAAGCTGAAGTTCCACAAACGCTTGTGATTGCATCAGTAATTCTGTCGAGACAAAGATTATGTTAGGTAAGAAGTAGCTTATTTTTGCAGACACACCCACCATCCCAAATCAGAACTCTGCTCCACCAGGACGGGACATGCAAATAATTATCCTTTCTGTAGAGTTTTTTAGATGAACCTTACCTTTCGACTGGGACGTGTTCCTCGCAAAGATTTGATAACACATACACATGTCGAAGAGCATATTCGTACTGAAGAAAGAAGTCAGTCAGTAAGTCACCAAGTAACAGCCGACATCTGTACAACTATATATATATCTTGAAGGTCACTGATTAAAACCTAACATTTCACGTTTTCTAATCAAACTAATACTCGTCAGCATGAACAACAAATTACCTCTTGGAAGTTGAAGCAGAAGGTTTTAAAGGCCTTTATGGCTTTTTTGTAGCAAATGTAGTCACGTGGAACTGCTGCTTTCTCGATAACACGCTGAATTTGAAGATTGTTCTGAGAGGCATGTTCAGCGATCTGCCTAACTGTGTCCTGAATCTTTAACCTCATCTAACAAAATATAAGGTTCATAGATTATTCATATAAACTTGTTTCGATGCCTTGAGTCGCTATACCAGTATAAATTCTTACCTTTATCTCTTTTTCAAGGTCATCTTTTATAAGTTTCTTTGTTTCGGGGTCTTTCGCGTTTTCCAGTTTATGTTCAAGAATGGCAATAGGAACGTCAGGAGAGGGTACAGCATCGAACTGCGAAGGAAAATAAACATCAACAATCAAGTCCTGAGATTATCAAACAACTAAGTCACGAACCAAACATCAAACAATTAAGTATAAGGTAAAATAAGATATCCGGCAGAGAAACTAAAGCAGGACGGACGTCTTAATACATTAGCTATAGTCATGGCGCTGAACTATTTTTTGTGTAGAAAACTAAGTTTCAAACTAATTCAAACTAAAAGTTCAAAATCCAAATTAATATAGCTTAATATAATTCCTTTGTGCAACAATAACGCTTAAGAAGTGACGCTGATTTTAAATAAGAAGCAAAGAATCGTATATATTAACCTTTACCTCAGGTTGTATAATTTTTGCTTGGTTTTGAAGGACATTCTGCTCCACCTTTTCCGGTCCGCCAAGGAAGTCTTCCAAGACCTCATTTTCGAAGCTCTGCATTAAAAAAAGCATTGACACAATTTTTGAAGCAGTTTGAGCCGTATCCACCGTATCGGGGAAACGTAAAAATGCCGGACCCAACTTTGAATTCGAAAGATAGATAAATTGATTAGTGAGGGGAGGGGAGGGGAGGGGAGGGGAAGGAAGGGAAGGGAAGGGAAGGGAACAATGCTCCCTCATGATATATTAAGCAATAGTATGCAACATAAGGCTATACAACTCACCATGTCTCCATATTTTTGCACGTGGCTAGTATTTGTCTCTCTTCTTACAATCTTGAACTGCTGAAGCAAAGTCTCGACTCTCAAGTTGGACTTTAAAAAAAACCGTCTATACATTTTAGTAGTAATCGACTTAAGTCTGACTGCTTTTACTTCATTATCATCATCATTATTCACCATTATTTATCCAGGATTTGCCCCCTCAGCATTGTTGATAACAATGGAGGGTCCTATAAACTATATGCAGTTTTTTTTAAGGAATATGAGACGCGCGTGCATGTCTCAGTACTGTGGTATAATTAAGGCACGGACAAACGGTGCAACATTGTACGCAACATTGCACAAAATCTCGCAACATCGCTTCTTCTTAGCATGCAATGCTAAGAAATTTGGTCAAGCTGATTGGCTGGAATTTTCAAAATGTTGCACGCAATGTTGAAGCCATGTTCACACGATGAAATTTGTTGCGCGCAATGTTGCCAGAGTAGAGAGCGATTCAACTTCAGATTTGTTGCATGCAATGTTACGCGCAACAAGTTTCAGGGGATCTGTTGATTGCAATATTGCACCGTGTGTTCCTACCTTTAGCAAATCGAGGTCCCTTTTCTTTGGTACTCTTATCGAACATGGAATGGTACAGCCAATGATCCAAACTCAAGTGGAACCATGAGCGCAGCGAAATTTCACGAGATTTCAACATCTAACCGAAAGAGCGCGCGCTCGTTGACGTCAGCGTATTTGTCTATTCTCTTATCGATCATAAAAAATAGCCAATCAGCGCGCAAGAAATTAGTAATTTCTGGTAAAAACACTCTGGGAGCTGTAGAGCGGATGTGACGCAGGCTATAGAGCACGAGAGAAGCAAGCTTAACCAAACACAAGGCATACCCGAGTACTTTTCTTGCTTTTCAAGCGTTCTATAGCTCCTTGACTGAGTGTTCCCAGTACAGAGATATAAGCAGCTGCTGTTTTGTATTGCTTTTATAAAATATTTTAAAACGATTTTGCGCGAACGAGTCTCTATCCTCTGTATAAATACGTTAGCCAGCCAATCAGAGCAAACGTTACATTTAAATAATTTTATAACATATTATATTTACAACACACAACTCTTAGCATGCAGAGGGAAACGTTCCCCTTCTTTCATTCCCATTTTTACGCAGAAAGGAAACCCGATTCATGATATACAATACGGTCAGTTTTTTTTACATGTCAATTGAAGGCAAATTCAACAAGTGTACTTACGGAGTCGGAGTTTTCCAGCCATTTAACGCTATACACGTCTCCAAGATAGGTTTCCAGTTTTTTGTCAAAGTAACAAGCGTATGATGACTCGTTCGGAGTTGATGCTGTTGTTGCATACACTGATGACAGAAAACAAGGATCAGAGAGAAGGCGGTACAAGGCGTTTCGGAGAAGGAAAAGGCATGATTTCAAGGAACCGATGCGCTCATTAAAAAAATCGTTTCAAAGATTTATCGATGGTTTGTTAATAACGTTTCGCGCCAGGTGTGTCCGGCGACAGAATGTCTTTAAAAACCCCCAGGCAGAACTTAATTATTGACAAGCAAAAACTAAAAGATGATATGGAAATTGCAACCTACCTTTAATGTTGTCAGGAAGTAAAGTATTAAACATTGAACCTGACTCGCAAGATTCGATGTAGAAGACCATCTAAAAATGTAAAAACCATAAAATCTCTTCAAAAATGACTTATTTTGATTGTTTCCCTATTGCTGCTGAAAGTGGTTTGAGACCTTCATCCAGTGCATTTGCAGAATCAAGAAAAAAAGCAATGACCTTGCTAATATCTAACACTTTGCTTCCACTTTCATCAGTCATCTCCACTTCCAAACGAGTTAAAGTTTCTGAATAACAAGATTTTAGCCTTGTACAACAACCTTTCTTCAAGAAAATAGTTTTTGGCACTCACTGCTTGAATACGAAAAGAATTATCTCTTTCTCTTAATAAAATAATTGTGAATAATACAAGTAGCTATTTGAGCGGAAAACACTAAACACAACTTACTTTCTTGAACTTTTTGTTGGTGTGCATGTAGTGAATGGCATCATTTAAGTCATTTGCCATCAGCTTCAATAAAAGTAAAAGACAATCAACAAGATATCTTGATAATTAAGGGATATAGCAGCCAGGGGAGGGGGGGGGGGGATCTTAGGATTAAAACTAAATTATATATTTTAATTTAACTTAGTTTATCTTAATCTATTATACAGTACATCTGTGACAAAACTGTCCCTTCGTTTTTTTCTACATTTTTTTTTCATTTTTCGAAAGATTGATCCCCAGTTAACATGGTATGTCTGGTATGTGTCATTTTGATCGGAAAGCTGGGGTGCTTTGCATTTACCAGGAAAAACTGGAAATTCTGTTTGGAAAACAAATGGTATGAAAAGGTAATGGAAAGTTCCAGAAATCTCAGTCTTCTGATGGAGGTAATCTAATTTCCCCTCTGGTTTTGGTTCTTCCAGTAAACGTGTACCATTCGTCGAAAGTCAAAGTTTCCCATACTTTTCTTACCATTAGCTAACATATAAATTTCCAACTAGATGCATCATTGGTTAAATGGTAAGCAGCCTAGATCATCTATTATTAGTGAACAAATAAAAAATGTGTGTGCATCAAAAAGCGAGATTTGTAACAGCTTAATTTAATTCCATGGCCAAGTGGAACCAAAAAAAAAGAGTCAAACCCAGTTGAGAGGTTATACCTGGATCGGTGAACTGAAGCTTATCAAATACTTGAGAAAATTTATAATAACATATTTTACCTCTCCTTCTGGAAAAGCAACAAGTCCTGGTGCTCCATGATCAGAAAAATACACAAAAACGTGATCATCAGGTCCACTGCAACAGTGAATCGGTGCATTAATACACATTACCAATAGAAAATTAACTAATAGAAGGCATCTCTGTTATTCAAGCTTGTAGCCATCATAGGCACCATTTAATGCTTTTTTTAGATTCACATTTGCCATTGTTTGTTTTTCTTCTGTACATAATGTGCTCTATGATGTTTGCTCATCACGTTTTCTCAAAAATCAAAAGAAAAAAATTCACAGTATAGCTAGAGCACTGCAGTTTAGCAACCTGCACAGAAAAACAACCAATCAAATTAATGATTCCATAAATAGCATCAATGATTATAAAAATAGTATCAAAGAGTGTTCATGATTTAGCATGGGGATTCTTTCTCTTAATTTAATTTTTCTTGATATCAACCTTTGCATCTTTAAAGGGCTTTAGTTATAACAGTAATGTGCTTTTAGAAATTAGAAATCATGGGGAAATTACACCACCCTTTTAAAATACAGGTTATTGTCAGATTTTGTAAGAAGAAGTCTAAAATAAGCAAGTAAATAGATTCATAACTGCACTTTGGCATGCATAAAACTAGGTATTATTAGAAAACATGATGTTAGGGATAATAAAACAATAAACAGATATCTGGTATGCATTAAACCACTATTAGTTACATGAAAAGAGAGATAGAGAACGAGGGTTGGGAGTAATATCAAGCATGTAAAAGAGTGTTTTATTCAATTTCCAAATACCCAAAAGTGAGTTGAAAAAACAAAGCAGAGCCGAGTTCGAACATATTCCAAATATTCTTGTTCTTTGGACTACCTTTGATATGCTACCACGACACAAAAAGTAGCATGCAAGTTATATACCTGTCAATGACTTTGCCAGAGCCAAATTCCCTCATTAAAGACTTTTCTCCCTTAAGTATCCTAAGAAACTTTTCTGGTGTCACTTCCTTTTAAAGAAATAAAATAATATGGTGTGAGCTTTTCAATGATCAGCTAGCAGCACTAGTATAATTATATTGGCATCACACAAAATCGTGGCCATCATCTTAACTTAAGTATCAAAAAAGGTACCAAGATGAGTAAAATATGTGCAGCAATTGAATATAATTTTTCATACAATACTCACTTTTCTGGTGTAATCTTTGACAACTCCTTTGTAGACATTTGGACCACCAACCTACATAGAAAAAAACAATTTTTGCAGGTCACATTTTTTTTCATTGACAACTAAACTCAAACAACTACAGGGCGCAGTTGTACAAGGGTTGGATAGTACTAACCGATGGATAAATTTTATCCAGTGGATAAATTTATTGGATATTAGCATTGACTTATCCAATGGATAAGGATTAATTTTATCCATCTGATAGCACTACAGTATCTACCCTTCATACAACCGGGCCCATGGCCACATTGGCATACAGACACTTTACATGTTACATTGTTATTATGCACTTGACAAATTTCCAATTGTTTTGTGTGGTATGTCCTCTTGTCAAAATGTTATGTACTCAGGAGGTTAAGCCGATCTAATTTACATTTAATTTGCACTGCAAATAATGCATTTTGCGATAGGATATGCAGAGTATGAAAGTGTATATATATGTACTTGGGATACCTTATTTATGATTGTGCCTGGTGTAGGATTTCTGCAAAGAAATATAAACAACCCATGACTACTGTATCTACAGGAAATCTAATGATGATTTAATCACCCATCCCTTTTATTGATATCAACAACCATTCAACTATACATGCAAAGAAATGTGAAGACATGAGAAGAACATTTACAATTATTCAATTCATACTCACTGTTCATTATATGCAATGTCATCATACGTCATGACAACAATATTCTCATCTGGTATACCATTCTTATGCAAAACTTGGTATGCATGACAAATGTCAGCCTAAAAACAATTAATTACAAAGTTCATGAGTGATTTGTAACATTCTGAATATGGAGTATGGCGTACTAATACTTAATGATATGACTGAGTTACCATTATTGTTATTTCCGGGGAATATAAATGTAATGTTGACCGCTCAGACCATTTGCCGGGAAACAGTGAAATTTTATGACCATCATGTTGCACCAATGAGAAGAGAAAAAAAATGGACTTTGACACTTGGTATACAACAACAAACTTCAGTAACTTTTCAACTGACCATGGCCCCATGGCCTCGGTCATGGTCATTTAAGATATCATATATATGGTCAACTCGATTAACAGTTTTTTATTATTAACAATATTATTATTTTCTATTGTTATCGTTTTCAGTTGTTACTACAAGAAAGAGTGTTCCCTCCAATTCCCCTCCAAGTGATATGCAAAACAACAGGTAACAGATAATTTATATCACGTGACGTCATTACAAACTCGTGATCATCAGGTGAAAACATTTATTTAGAATGAGCATGGCATTTCAACGCAAGGAGTCAAATATTTTTTTCTTTCTTTTTGCAGTGTAAATCTTTAGTACGTAAAAATAGATCTATAACCAAGCAATATCAACTAATAGCATACGAAGTAATAAGCTTACATTAATAGAATTTTGGGCAAAATAAAATAAAATGAGTAAGCTTTTAAAGCTTACAAAGCTTACATAACCTTAAACGTTTTTAGTACAAGTTTAGTTACCTATTAAGTCATTGAATCGTAAAGCTACGAGCTACGTAAGTTCTAATATGTTCTATGTTCAAAGCCGTTATGTACCTGGTGGCGATAGTTTCCCCAAGTGTTGGATCCCGCCACCAAGAGTGCCCAGTGTTTACCTTCAGTTGCTAGAGCTTCGTTGATATATCCAAGATGAACATACAAGAACGTAAAGGCCAACAAGCGTAGGACATTTAAACAAGCCATCGAATTCAAGATACGAGTTACTACACAGAACTGATATTAAATAACTCGCAAGCGAAAGTGTTCCCTCCGCCTTCCAACAGTGTCAGCTCCTGTCAATAGCCTTAATCTGTCAAAAATATTGTCCTTCGGTATTTGTATTGGGTTACCTGAGGTGATAAATTAGTCTATAAATATCCCTTATGCCTCCCCTCCCCCCTAATACTTGCTGTCAAATACGCATGCGCATTGTAATATAATTAAATCCAAAATGGCGGGAGTTACCTAGAAATCGTTTGTTTTCACGTTACAAACTTCAAATTTGTCAAGATGGTTAAACAGGGAATAAAGATTTATGCGAGAGTAAAACCTACGAAAATCAAGACTGCGGTAAGTTAGGTTATTTATTAATTGTGAAGGTGTATTCTATTGTTTCTAATAGTAAAAAACCCCAACGCTAAAGCATCTGTTGATCAATTATCTGTCCCAAGAAAACAAAAACATTTACATTTTCCCATTTAATTTTAGTTTCTAATATTAATTTCAGTTTTTCTTTATTGAAATGCACTTTGATCAATTTATCGTTAATTCATTCATTTTGACAGCCTTATGAAATATATAATGAGGAAGATTCTGCATGTGTTACATTCTCTGTCCCAAAAGATCTGGCTGAAGGATTCATAAACAACAAGAAAGAGGAGTACAAATTCAGGTGAAAGCTATTTTCAATCGCTATATTTTATTATTTTATTATTTATTGTATGTGATCAACAGTTTTCTCTCAAACCAAGTCTTTTTTTGGCTCTATCTTCCTTCAGGATTCCTTCAGAATTGTAATATTTTGTCAGTAAACATTCCTTTTTTGTTTTATATTAGGTTTTCTAGAGTGTTTGATCAGCAGTGCACCCAAGATGAAATATTTGACAATGTAGCAAAAGGAGTAATTGATAAGTATGTAGTAATGCATGCTCACTAGTGATAATAATTTCTTGCTTAAATGTTACCAAAATAATCAGTCATCATTGTGCTGGGACAAGTGCAAAATTAACAAATCAAAGTTACTTTAAGCTATGGTCTACAATCTGAACTCTTTCAAACATAGAATGGTATTTTATTCAAGCAAATGATCCAAACCCAAGTGGAACCATGAGCACAGCTTACAGTATACAGTGTCTAAATGAAATCTTAACTTTTCTTTTAGCGTGCTTGAAGGATATAATGGCACAGTTTTTGCATATGGCCAGGTACAGTACATGTAAAGTGTCTCATGTAATGCAGCATTAAATATCAGAAAATCTTGGAGGGTTTGGTCATTATTAAGTGCACTTTTCACTCAGCCTAAAGGTTTTTTTCAGGGTTTAATAGTATTTGTTTCTAGTTTTTATTTAATTACAGTAAAAACTGATACACAGGAAGACCAGAGCTTTTTCTTGTTGTTAGGAAATTGAATATATCATACATATCGACATATATCTGAGAAAAGCAAACTGTAAAGCACAGTCTTCTCACACGCAGCCAGCCTGAGTGCTGTTATGCAAGATGTGCTTGTGTGTGCATGTTAGCTCAGTGGTGTACATGTACCAAAGATAGAGGCTGTTGAGTCTAGAAATGTGCTGAAGAAAATGTGAGAAGCCAGAGGAAAACTCTCAAAGATACTTATTGCTTACAACTACTTAATTATGGCTGCTTCCCAAAATCCAAACATATTGATAATCATTTGAACTACATTTTATTTATTTATTCATCCATCCATCCATCCACCCACCCACCCACCCACCCACCCACCCATTCAATCATTCATCCATTTATTCATTTATTTATTTATTTATTTATCATTTCCTTCAGACTGGATCAGGCAAGACGTTCACAATTACTGGCGGAGCAGAGAGATATTCAGACAGAGGTCTCATTCCCAGAATTTTATCATATTTATTTGAATACTGTGAAAAGGTAGGAGTTTTTTTTGCTTGTTTCATGTGCCATACCACAAACACTTCCAAATGTTCTTGATTTGTTTTTGACAACTTTTTGACAAGTTTTTCATTGTGCTCTTTACTGCTAATTAAGCAATTAGGTATTGGCGCTTCACTTTCATTAATGTTTCAATTGGTGGAGTTTGTATATGTGTGGATGTATCAAAACATTTAATAGTTAGCGGAGCACAATTAGAACTTGTTAAAACATTGACAGAAAGAAGTCAAAAACTTGTGTTCAACGTGTCTAACACAGTAAGCTGTATCATGAATAATTAAAAAGATTTTGGTCCACTTATAGCTGATAAATACTTATTAAAGTCATCTTCATTATTTTTTCTGCCATCATAATATTCTTTAAGTAATATATACAGTATGAGTGGCCGTGTTGTATCCGATATACAAACTCGAGGAGTAGCCGTATATTGGATACAATACGGACACAAATACTGTAGATAATTTATGAAATGTCTAGGTTAGTTCCTTTGTGTTTCCCTGAAATTTTCAAGATAAAAGTGAATCTGGCCAAGAAAATCCATCTTAAAGTTTATGCAAATGAACAGGATTCTGTATCTGATTTACAAAACTCTTCACGGTCGTAATTTCTGTTGTGTTTTTCCTCATGAATTATTAATGAGTTTAATAATTTAAAATAGTGTTATGATATACTTCCAGTTACGTCACTACAAACACATATAAGCTCTTCAAGAACAGACATTAAAGAACATGGCTTCTTGCAACACAGCTTCATAGTTTGACATAAGGAAACAAGAATATTACGTGCATTTAGTATGAAGAGACTCATGAAGAACAGTTTCACATATGATCACAGTCCACTACCCCATTCTTAAAAAACATTATTTTGGTAACACTTTATTTCATTGTCTTGCAGAATTCTGAGACGGTTTACACAATACATATATCATACCTAGAAATCTACAATGAAAGTGGCTATGATCTTCTTGACCCCAAGCATCAGGCGTCCAAGTTAGAGGACTTACCGTAAGTACAACAAGACTCTTAGGTGCTGACTTTTAATAGCAATAGACCTTATTCCTTGTGGTGCAAAGCTTTCCCACTACAAACAATTTCTCACTCCCAAGAGTCATTTCTTTGTTTAACGCTTGCACATTTCCCGGGGGTGAAAATCTAGTACATGATTTAGGAATAATGTTTTCCTTTGTTGTTGTGTTTGCCTGTTGCCAGGAAAGTCAGCCTTCTTGAAGACAGTGAGGGCTCTTTCCATCTCAAGAACCTCTCTATGCACCATGCAAGCAATGAGGAAGAAGGTAGCCATTTGAACAACTGAACAATTTTTTTTTAGCTATTGTCTGCATGATAAATGGTCAACTTAACAGAGGTTCCACTATAGTACCAGAATAATGAAGCCGCTGATCATTCACTTATTCTTTCATTTCCAGCTTTAAACTTTCTCTTTTTGGGTGACACTAACCGAATGATTGCAGAGGTATGTGCAACGTTTTTGACTGATTTATTCTTCTTTGCAACATTTTGTAAATTGTGCCATTTTTCAGAAGTCATTAGAGTATTCGAGTATGTTTAGTACCACATTGAACACTTATTTTCAGCTTAACATACTGTACATCCTGTATGTTCAGATATTTCCTATATCACGGCATTTTCTTATATTTCATTATTCTTGTCCAGACACCAATGAATCAGGCTTCAACAAGATCACATTGTGTTTTTACGATCCATATCTCATCTAGAGAACCGGCTAGAGCAACAATAAAGAGAGCCAAACTTCATTTAGTGGACCTTGCAGGGTAAGTTTGTGGGTGGTTTATTTTGTGAAATGACAAAAATTGCTGTGTAAATACTGTTTGCTGTGAAACCTTTCAACACTGACAGCAAAAGATTTTCATCTGATGCTGCTGAAATTAAGTATCTAATTTTAGTTTTCTTTTGATTTGTTGTTCACATAAAAATTGAATTGGTGGGATAAAAAAAAGAGGAGTGAGACAAAACCAAGATTCTTAGTACTGTGTATATAAAACACAAGAGGAGTGTAGAAGAGTGTAAAGTGTAGATGGAGGGGGGGGGGGGGACTATCAGATTGCAAAATATCATGCAAGCACATTATTTTATTTATAACCTGAATATTTGTGCTTATTATCTCATCAGTTCAGAAAGAGTTGGCAAGACTGGTGTAGGTGGGATACTTTTAAAAGAAGCCAAATATATCAATTTATCCTTGCATTACCTTGAACAGGTATTTATTTGTACACAAGTGATGTTTTCCAAAAGTGACAAGATAAACTGTATTAAAGAAAATTGCACTTGATTCCAAATATCTTTATGCATTTGATATATTATATAAATCAATATTTATGAACAATGCAGCATCCAATTAATGTAGCATTTCTTGATGGTTCTTGATATTTTGACAGTTCTAATCGAAACAGGTGGAATGAGGTGTGGGGCGCATTTAAATTCTTAAAAGGCGATTCTGTTTAGCTTCATTTTCTGTAAAAAAAATCTACCAACGTGATCCCTGCTCAGCATTTGTGTATCTGTAACTGGTAGAAGTCATGCAATTGCCTAATTGTCATCACATTTTGATTCTAGGTCATTGTCGCTTTGTCTGAAAAGTCAAGAAGTCATATTCCATATCGTAATTCTATGTTGACATCAGTGTTACGTGACAGGTACTTTTACTTGTATTTTATTTAAAACCCTTAATTTACTTACTTACTCACTGCTCCTATTTATGAAGATATGCATACTAAGCAATTTGTACAAATGGCTGAGCCTTTGTTACTTTTATGACACACCAACTAAATTTCATTTCTGTAACGCTAGTTCTTTATATACACTTAATTGAAGAATCCTTGTTGGGTTCAGAAACATAGAACATAAAAGCTGAGACCGAAATGGCACATAGGAAGTATGTTAATTAGATGCACGCTGTGACCGGGGACCCGTTGCATCATCCACTGTTTTTAATATGCTTTTGGCATTCTAAACCGACTGTATGGATGGTGCAAATGAATATATTATAATATAATTGTCATTTCCCATGTGCCATTTTGGTCTCAGCTTTTATGTTCTATGTTTCTGAACCCTACAACGGTTCTTCAACAGTTCTTCAAAGGTAATTTAATGGTATCATCACTCTTTAATCCCATATAAGTAGCTATTGTTTTATTTTCAAATTATTTTCTGTCCAAATTAAAGATTAATTTGGATCGCTTTCATACGCTTCTTTTGAGGGAAAACTATGACTTATGGAATCAGTCTTAGCTAGTATAGTTTGGGATGATATAATCAATCTGCAATAGGACTACATGTCTGTCCAATTTGGAAATAATTGAATTCAAAAAATTCCTCGCTTTTTAGATGATTTTTACTCTCTTTAGTTTCCTTTTGGTCCTACATTCTTTTGTATTAATGACTTTGTGGATATTAAACCAGCAGAGGCATAGAATGATGGTCTTGTGCAAATACAATGTGATATCAATAATTATAAATGATTGTGTTTTGTAGCCTTGGAGGCAATTGCATGACTACGATGATTGCTACTTGTGCTGTGGACAAAAAGAATTTAGATGTAAGTGTTAATATAATTGAATGTCAGCGATTTAAGATATTTTGAATTGTTCAATATAAAACAAACGGTGGTTAAAGATAAACTAAAATGGATCAAGAATGTTAAGGTCGTATGTGACTCATTAGGGGTGTGAGAACTGATGATTTAAGATATTCCGTCGTCGGTTAAGAAATCTACTGTATTCTGTTTTCTATTTGTTGGGTAGGGTTAGGGTTAGGGTTTCAGGACATTATAATCAATAATTGATCATCAAATAGTGCCATTTCATGTAGTATTACATTAAATACTGACTTGCTGAACAGGGGCGGATCCAGGGGAGGGGTGCAGAGGGTTTGCACCCCTGCACCCCTCCCTGGTTCGACTTGTGCCCCTACTTCAAAGATAACCAATCCTGTTTTTTCCCTTTGATTCTAAGGGGTGCACCCCTACCTGGGTTAACTTCGTGTGCAGCACCCCTCCCTGAACAAAATCCTGGATCCGCCCCTGCTGAATACACCTTTTTAGCTTCAAAATTGCCCATTTGAGATCACATGACATTACCTTGAGAATTTTCTCTTATGACGAACATGTTAAGATATTTACACATGAAAGAATCAACTCCCAAGAGTGGCATCACGTGGTATGAAATGTGCACAACAAACAGCGAAGCTTATGTGTTATTCATTCATATTTTTATAAATGTGTCGAAAAACGACTCATTGATTTTAGCATGCGCAGTGCAAAAACTAATCGAGACACCAAATTTGAAGGTTTCCTGTATTCTAGATGATATGTGAAGGAAAACTTGTAAATGATATGTCAAGCTTAAACCTTTACTTGTAACAATACTCTCTCTTTCACTCATTCAATTATTTCATTGCATTATTTTGATCATCACACTGATTTTTAATTTTTAATTTTTACAGGAATCAATTTCTACTTGCAAATTTGCTCAGAGGGTCGCCATGATAAAGAACGACGCCCTTTTAAATGAAGAAATTGACCCTAAGTTGGTAAGATTTCTATGAAACAGTCTTAGCAATCACTACACTTTATTTATTACTAACACCATTGATATATTGATATGACTAAACAACCAGCTCGGGTTAGATTTTTAACTTACAATGTTCGTCACCCTCTGACTGAATATTAGGGACCTTTAGGCTGCAGGACGGCAACGACGACGACGACGGCAAGCATACAATAGCACTAATTGCGCTATTCAATAGATACTCGTTGGAATGTACGAAACACTGTGCAACATTGCCGTCTTATGCTGAAAGTAAGACGTGAAATGTCCTATTTTTACGTACTAAAGAGAACGGCTACGCCAAAATCTTATCTTTACTGATTTTTGTCTTAAGTAAAGGGCTCTCAAAATACGCCATTTCACTCTAAAAAGGGGGTGCTTAGTGATTAAATACTAGGTAAACACGAAATGATAATACAATAGAAGGTTGAAGCGCCTCAATTTCGCCGACGTTATCGCTCGCGTTGCCGTCCTGCAGCATAAGGCCCCTATTTCTGTTGCACTTGCAAACTTTTTTTACGCGACTTGAAGTTGTGAAAGGCCCATCGGCCCTCTTCTTCAGTCGTTTCATACAAGGCTCGTAATTTACCTATTACGCATGTTCTTATTTCTAATACATAACACCCGATGCATTTCAGATGATTGCTCAACTTAAAAGAGAAGTTCAACAACTCAAGGCCGAGCTTGCTATTTCAACGGGACAGCAGTATGTCGACGAATTGACAGAAGAGGAAATCGAGAGGTTTGCACCACTTTGCCGCTTGAACTTTCCTTGAAATGTTTTTATTCTTCATGGAAAAGTCCAGTCAGTCCACATTGTCCTTGCAAAGATGGTATTGCGTTTTTCCTTTCCCTTTCTTCCTCCATGCCATTTTTGCTATTTCTTCTTCCTTCCCACACAGGGACTGAAAAAATTGATCGGTCATTTTAGTATAAGGGATCTCGCTCGAGATTCAATACTATTTGCTTAAATTGATCAACCAGCGTGATTTCATTTAACCCCTTAGACAACTAAATCTAATTCATATAGTGGTTCTGACTCAAATTGACAGTAGCAGTAACGACTTTACAATAAAATATAGTACTTGACAAATCGGCCGGCTAGATGAGCCACCCGCCATGACGGATTGGGTGGAACTCTGATTAGCACTCAAGAGATAAAAAAGATATATTCTTCCGACTATAGAAATCATTGGTTCTACCTTACTGTTGGAGAGAGTTAGTATTAGATGAAACATAATTGACTTTATCATATAATTATCCATAAAATACCTATATTTCTCCTTTTCGAAAAACTGATATTTTCACATGTGAAAATATCGTTATCATGTGTACTTAAGCTATTGGTTTATGAATAAAAACTTTTCATAATAATAAAAAACTTATTAAGTTGATTTTATGGATAGTTATATAATAAACAGAATATTACATGGGCGCTCGGAGATACGAAATTTATCTTCTTGTGTTGAAAGTCTCTCACTTGTTTGCTGCGCTCACTCGTGAGAGATCTTTTCAACACTCGAAGATAAATTTCATATCTCCGCGCGCCCATTTAATATCCTCTATTTATGTAATTACATAATTGACAAATTTACCAAGCAGAAAAAAAACCCTTAAAATTCATTAAAGATTTCAAGAGCCTGAGTTGAGAGCCTTACTATGTGATTTATGACAAATCACAAATAATGTCTTTCCGTTTTGTCCTTAGCCTCAAGAGAATTGTATTGAGCTTTATCCAAGATACGGAACCTGATGCTGTACTTAGCGTTGGAGCCGACATGAGAAAGATAAACATGTGCTTCATGTTACTTAAAGTATGTTCTTAAATTCCTCCACTATAGTATACACATATATTAATGTACTCACACTTGTTGATTAAAAGGAAATTTTCTTCTATAACGAGGGTTAACACTCAAAACCTTTTATTAACAGTTAGATACTGATGTACTATGAAAAAACGCTTGTTTGAAGCGGTATTTTCAATTGTACAAAGTTGTTTTGTTGCATTTGTGTTAGAATGTAGCTTTGTCAGGCTTTTTTTATAGAAATTGTGTGGGAAATAAGCAAATGAAGGCCTAAACCTCATTTTCGATTCAAATGTTTGCTTTGGGTTAACACTTTGATTCCACTTTCATCGGTCATTTCCACTTCCAAACAAGTTAAACTTTCTGAATAACAAGATTTTAGCCTTGTACAACAGTCTTTCTTCAAGAAAATAGTTTTTGGCGCTCACTGCTTGAATACGAAAAGAATTCTCTCTTTGTCTTGATCAGTTTTGTTGACTGATCAGTTTTATTGTATTGGACAGCTAACATATTTAACCGTCAACCATTACCCCCAATCCCCCCCGTCACCACTCCGGATTTTCATTCGTCTGATCTGTGAAAAAAATTTTCCGTAACACCATCAATTTCAACCCTTTATTCATGATACATCGATTTCTTGGAGTTTTCAAAAAATGGGGATCATCGCATGCTATGTCAGTAATCGCCGGTTTCCGCTCTATCTTACTATGCTCTCGCATGTTTTCCTTTTATTCCACTAGGGTTATGTTCTTGATAAGTCAAAGTCCTCTTCGCGTTCAGAAAGGTATGTTTGGCTGAATGACAATTATGTAGTAAATGAGGTGTCGACAACCTTGTTTTCAATAATTGTCCTATGCTTGTTGTCCTGATGGGAACTTTGTCCCTTCTGCTTCTCAGTTTCAGGGAGGAGAATGGTGCTTTGGACAGCAGCTATCTTGGACATCAAACGGAAGTCAACAAACTTAAGGAACTGATAAAGCAGCGTGATAATGAAATAAGTATCCTTTCGTCGTCAGTTAATCAGGAGATATACTTTCTTTAGGGACGGACTATTAGACAGTTGATGGTGGGTTGCGTAAATCCCCCCCAAAAAATATCGAGCAAGCACTTAAACCTTGAAAAAAATATCGTGCCACCTCTTCTGCTAGAAGAAAAATATCTAACTGTACGCAAAAAATAACGTGCAAGGGTTGAGCCAAACAAATGAATATCATGCAACCAAAATTCCTGCAACCCCCCATCAATTATCTAATGGTCCATCCCTTAGTCGACGTTCTATATAAGAGTAAGAGCATCATCTCATCAATACATTACTCGTTACCACGACTTTTATAAAACATTGCATTGAGCATGGCCGAGTCCTAGAAGAGATAAATAGATTTAATTGACCAGTTCTATCTTAACCACTAAAAGATATCCTTGTTAGTATGCTAAAGAAAGAGAAAAACCGAGTAGCCGGAATGAGCAGTGCACGTGAACCGCAGCGTAGTTCCAGTCAGCCGTCAGCTGCTATGGACTCGGAAAGTGAACGTTACAGCCATCGAACAGGAGTTAAGAAAAGCTATTCAGTAGATTCGACAATACAGGTATCAGTTTAAATGTATGTGTCAAAATATTACAAACAAAAAAAAGCAAACATGAAAATGCCTCTACAAGGTTTTAAACGACATAGAGCAGTTTTCGTATGGCTGTGAAAAGCTCAATGCCGTAAGCGTGCCGTGCCGTGCCATATTTCGGTGAAGTTAAACCATCTTCTGGCAAATGATTAGACCATGTGATTGGATGGAGAGTAAATTCTCGAGCACTGTGGATTGTCTGGCGTATGCCTTGCCGTCACGAGCGTGTTCGTGCCGTGAGCTTTTCACAGTCATACGAAAACTGTTCTAATGAGACTAAGACAAGTGACGACGTTTTGACGTTAGCTGCAAGTCACGTCGAACCGACTGTAATAAAAATAAAAAGATCTAAATGTAAGAGGTCCAACAGGATATTTATATATCTTATTACGTCGTTGTAATCTAATGGCAGTTTTATTCATTGAATATATATATATATATATATATATTTATTTATTTATTATATCTGACTAGATTTCTTGTAAATTGAAAAATATTTCCTTAAGACAATTTATAACTGATTCACTGATTCCCTTATTCGTTCAGGATCGGGAAGACCTTAGTTCAACCGACAATGAACCTTCAGCTTACAACAGAAAGCTCCGTAAGTACTCGATAGATGTTTAATTAGTTACATTTAGTAAAAGACGCCCTCTTTGGCCTATATACCTCTGCAAATTGTGAGACAATAAAAGAGCCGAAGTAACTCTTTTTTAATGGACAACTTCGACGAGACGGCGGCCATCTTGGATCGCAAAACATTATGAGGCGCCCAGTCGGCAAAACAGAACTAAAGTGGAGGATAACTTTTAGTGTTTCGTGTGTTTTCTTTCCTTTCCTTTTCTTTTCTTCTTTTCCCTATGGGTAAAGGTGATCAAGGTGCCGTCTTTAGCAGTAATAATGACACGCAATATAAAGAAAAGTATATCATCAAGTCTCATCAGAGGAATCCTCCTCTGAAGTCTCATATTAACTCTACATTTGTCCCCTGGATGGCCCACATTGCTTTGCGATTCAAGATGGCCGTGTATCGTCGAAGTAGTCTATTGGTTGATTATGATGTATTTTTTTAGAGGAGATGTCCGTGGGACGAAAAGAAGCATTTGAGGTTTTCAAGCGAGATTATGTTCATAATGATACTGTGGAGGACCACAAAAGGAGTCTTAAACAAAGGTCAGATTATTACTGTAATCAAATAGTTATTGGGGTGGATTTTCACTCATTCACTAGGGGTTACCGCCTTGTGGCATGGTTGCTCAGTTGATTGGACACCGGTCTGTTCTACGGGAGGTCGCCTTTGTGTAAATTTGTGTAAAAAAATCTGTAAATAGTTAGACCTTCGCCGTGGCTCGGATGTCTCACTGACTTACGTTTAGAGACGATAAACTCAGGGTCTTGAGTTAATCAGTGCTAAGTTGGCGACTACCGTCAGAAGGCTGGTTCACACTGTCGTCAGGATCTGAATGTGAAGCAACAAATTCAGAATCAGTATCGCATTTATCATCTATAGTTGTGAAAAAAGATTCACTACTGAGTCCGCGTATGTCGCTTCCGATTTCAACGCTACTAGTAACATATACCTGGGCCCTCAGAGATTAAAAAGAAAGAAGTTGCCTCTCAGCAGTACCGTATTAAACAGAAATATTGAGAGAAAATACCGAGAAATCAAGTGGAGTAAAATGAAAGCACAGCTTGATATTTAGGATTGATTTTACTCATACGAGATGTTTTAAAGAGCGTCATCTCGACTATAAGTTTGACTACTATTGTCAAATGTAAGCTAAAACGAATCAAGCAGTCAATCTTTCTAAGAAGATTACCAATAATAAGGGTTTGAATCCGATGAATTGAAGACGAAATGACGTAAAAAAGAGTAGATCATTTTTACTGGATACGATGATAGTTATCACTGTTTAAACTATATTATAAATAATTTTTAGATACATAATAAGTCCTTTAATGCTAGACATGTTTCGGCAGTCCAGCTGCCATTATTACTCAGTTTCTGCTCTCAAGACCATTTAGATATATTATAAATACACATAATTGAAAAAACGTTGTCGGGTTCAAAAGAAGGTTATATCATCAAAGCCAAACAATTATGCTAATTTCATGCGTATTACAGTTTTCCCTACCCGTGCACATTTTATGCATCATGGCTTTGGCATGTTGTTAATCTAGGTCGACCGACTTTGCTCTACTGTGCATTTTTTCATGTCTATATGCAAATTTAGCATATACCAACTTTGGTACTTCCTAAGAACGCGCGCGCTCATTGGTTAATTGGAGGTGAATATCGTACAATATTCACCTCTGAATCTCGGAATATTGAGTCGGCAACAAAATGGCATCTGCCGGCAATCGTTTTGCTACAATTTCCGATGAGGAAATTGAAAAAATTAAAGTAAATGTCATTCCTATCAATACTAAAAGGGCAACGAAGTATGGCCTAAAAGTTTTGCTAAATGTTTTGCGTGAATTTGTCAAGCAAACTTAAAGTTTCTGTTTGTTTGTTTTATTGAATTATTGTATATAAAAATAAGTTACTCTGTACACAAGTTGGTATATGCTAAAACAATTATTCGCCTCAGGCTCAGTGAATATGGAGAATATTTACCTCGCCGCTCGAAGAATCGCGTCTCGGTAAATATGCCCCGATATTCACTTGCGAATAATTGCTAAATATTCCCCGATATTCACTTGCGAATAATTGCTAAATAATATTCATTTCGGAGTACCCAAAATCCTTTTCGGTCTTAGCTTCGATGATATGACCTTCTCGAACCAATCGTACTGAATATATTACGATTCAAATAAACAATCACAACTTTTCGTTTTTAGGTATGCTGATGCAAAGTCTTGTGGTGAGCAAGTCAACGCCTCAAGATTAAAAATAAGTATGAAATATTATTTTAATTACTCAAAAGCCCCACGAATAAATTGACTATGGAGACTATGCGACCAAATGCGTTGCGCGTATGCAGGTTATAAAAAAGCACTAAACCTAAGTCGTACTAAATCTTTTTTTTTAATGATTAAATATTAGTAGAGTACAAATACTAAGCGTATGCAATAGTTATCTCTATTTGGGTCCCGTCCACTCGTATCCGGAAATTTTTGTATCCGCAAATTTTTTTTGCGGATACGGGTTGCGTTCACACGTGTCCGGAAATTTTTGTATCCGTATCCGGAAATTTTCGAAAACGGTCTCCAGAGTGGAAATTTTTGAATAATCTCAGAATACGGATACGTGCGGACGGTCGTATCCGCAAATTTTCGAATACGATAACGTAAACACGATTTTGCGCATGCTCAATAAGAAAAACTATCCGTCAAAGGGACTAGGTACTATCGTGCATCAGGGCGGATCATGAAATTTCTGCATACGTGTGGATAGTGAAAACGATTCGAAAACGATTCGAAAACGCTGCGTGTGGACGCGAACATTTTTGTATCCGCAAGAAAAAATTTGCGGGTACAAAAATTCTGGATACGTGTGGACGGGGCCTAATTAGTAAAATATAGCACTAATCAAACAATAGAAAACAATAGAATTAGCATAAGATAACACTATTTAGTGATATTTATGTTGCACACATTTAGTGTTTGTGCTCTACTATTTCATTTAGTGCCATTTAGGCCCCGTCCACAGGTATCTGGAAATTTTTGCATCCGCAATTTTTTTTTGCGGCTACGGGTTGCGTCCACACGTGTCCGCAAATTTTTGTGTCCGTATCCGCAAATTTTACGAAAACGGAGACGTGTGGACGGTGAAAACGATTCAAATACGCTGCGTGTGGACGCAAACATATTCGTATCCGCAAAAAATAATTTGCGGATACAAAAATTTCCGGATACGTGTGGACGGGACCTTATTTTAAGTACTTTTTAATTCTGTCTAAGAATAAGCTGCGCAATAAATGATTTAGATAAATGAGACTGCATTTTCAGGAAAGACTTTGATGTTGATGTTTAATATTTCGGTTAAGTTAAACCATCTCCTGGCAAATGACTTAGACCTAGTCGATACACTGCAGCGAACAAGATGCCAAATAAAAATAATTAATCTGAACTCAGTGTCTGAAGAAAGAAAATATCATAGGCTATGATAACCATTGTGAGTTTTCTGTTCATTTAAAAACGTGCAATTATATTAAACGGATGCAGATCTCAGAAAATAGAGCAAGGTGCGTGAAGCAGGCTTCGTAAAGAAGTACGATAAAAATGCGAAGTATAGTTACTCTTTCTATATAATAAAGCAAACTGTAAGGACCTCCTCTTTTTCTGTTTCCCAACACTGTAATAAAGAAACCACATTTCCTCCATCGGTCTTCCTTATTGCGTGCATCAGAGTGTTTTTCGTGTACTTGGGAATTTAATAAGGTTTCCATTTCTTTTTTCTCTCTGTAAATAAAATTGAAATTTTGATTTATCTGCTCAATTAGATAAACTGAAGACACAGATTGAGCAGCACCGAATGAGACAGTCAATGCAAGGTACAACAGCCACTCAAATAATCGCTTATTATTTCCGCATTACATATTGTCAATCTCTTTTTCTTTGACTTTACAAATTTTGGTTTTGAAAGTTCATATGTTTCGCCTGTCCTTCAATGAGGACCTTAATCAGTGCGTCAGGACGTTATACTTCTAGCCTGCAAAGCAGGCGTTCTTGTGGGTTTGGGGAAAACCGGGGTTTTGTGGGAACTTTGGAAATTTGGAACGAGCGAGAATTGAAACCCAGCAAAAAAGGTCCCATTTTTCTCGCGGGCACGTAGTCGAAACAGGAACCTCAAAACCCCGATTCTTCCTCAAACCCAGCAAAAGAAAGCCTGCTCTGCAGGCTATTATACTTCAAACATATATTTGCTTGTTTGTTTATTTGTTTATTGTTTGTTTAGTAACCAGCTGTTAATTCCACACATTTCAAAAACCAATTATCGATAATCGTAACTACCGGCTTTCAATGCAGGCCTTCTTGATGGCGCCGAAAGCGACCAGATTGTTGATGCGGAAGAAGCCAAACTCAGACAATCAATGGAGGAAGAAAAAACAAGGTAAAAAGCAAAGTAAATGACTTATATGTTGAGGATATCATTACGCTACATGCCGACCAGTTGCTGCCAAGCTCCTTACTACATAGATAGCCTATAGGTAGTCATAGGTTTCTCCTTTGCGCTCCTCGGGGTTCCTGTGCTCAGAAATCCTAATTACTTTCTGGAGAATAAATACGGAGCTTGCGAAGGAGGCTACTACATATCAAGCTGCTATAGGAGGGTTGACAAGAGCGGATCCAGCCAATTTTGGGGGGGGGGGGG